TTAGCTCGTTGAAAGTTAATTTTCAGCTCCCTTACAGATTAGAAGCCAATTAAAACAAAGCTATTTATTGACATCTAAATAAGTATTGGGAAGTAGTCATTAATTAATTACTATCATTAAATAAAAAATCTAAGGAGATTATTTAAAAATGTAAGGAACAATGTAATTCTCAAATGAAAAATCATTTCCAATTTTTTTAAGAGAACTCGATCGTCGAGTTGCATCCTGATCCTTTTATTTACATTAAGTGGTGTCAATAATCTTCTACCAGTGAAGTGTCATTAGAGTGGCTTTTCTATTTTTATAATTTGAAACGTGCCATAGGTAATGTTTAAATAATTTCTTATGAATTTTAATAATAGACATCGGCTTTTATACAAGTATTTTCTAATTTTACTGAGTATTTCAGTTTAAAACTTGTATAAACAATCGTGAAGTGCAATACAGCTCGCCATTGTACCTGTCAACAAAACATTTACAAATTAAAAGCAAAAAGCAGTAAATTTTACGAAGAAATACGTGTAACTGAGGTCATAATTATTATTAGCGAAAGTTTTTCTGTGCATACCAATGTCTGTTTAAGGAAGAATGTTGCTTTTATTAATTTATAAATGATCTTGAAGATTAGAGTCATTTCACATTCTGAAGACTGTGTTTACACTCCAAGACTATTTTGTATTGCTAGAGCGCAATCTTCATTGCGCAGCTGGCAGCTGCACTGCCGCAGGCAGTGTTATCTAGACTGTCAGCGTGGGAGGTTGTCTGCCGGAGGCTGCGAGCCGCTCCTCTAATTTAAGGTCGGCGTTCACAAAACTCAAATTACTAAGGTAATTTAAAATTTATATGTAATTGCACCATGCTCTAGTCTCTAGTAAGTCTAGTTACTCTAGTATCCTTAGCATTTGTTTTGCAGTTTGCACTTTGCACATAGCTGTAAGCAGTAAGCTGGTAGCAGTCCCAAGCCAATGAAGCCATGATGGATCACCGCCTCTGACTATTGCGCATCTGCCCTCATTTGGGCCAGCTGCCAGGCTGAGTGGCAACAGGCATGGAATATAACTACTTAGCAAGCCGCGACTGAATTTTTTGAGCCGTGGTTATATGGATTTGCCAGCCGTGATTCCATTTCACCGAGCCGTGAATTTGATATCTTGGCCATGAAAAGCCACTTACAAGGTGCGAATTTATTTACAAAGTCCATGCACCTCTTACCCCAAATCTCTCATTTTACCCTAAAATAGTCAAACGGCAACAATATTTTTTGTCTTTACTCGAAGTTGAACACGTGTTAATGCAGTTTGATTGCTTTGACATGACTGCAACTATGCGCGATCTTCAACAAAATGTTTAGTTGTTTTGTTTACATTACGATGTTTACGTTTTTTCTGCCGGATATTTTGGTGGGAACGGTAAAGCAATGCAGATTGCAGAAGTTGAAAATTTTATGAAATGACATGTTTGTGAAGTGCAAACCGCGATTTTTCAAGCAATCAAAAATTTATGACATTCGAGCCATGAGATTTCATACCTACTGAAATTATATGATATTAGAGCCATGATATTTCAGACAAAAATAGGACTTTTCCAGCCCTGAGTGGCAAAGCAGAGAGTTTTTTTAGACTCTCCCCCTATGTTCATTTTTGAGTCCTATAACTTAAGTAGACCAGTAAAGTATCCTGGATACTGGCATTATCATGCTTGAGAAATTGGTTTAGATCTTGAGTAAATTAGGAAATTAAAAATTAACTGATTCTAAAATAGCTCTGGTTTGCCACTATGGCAAGATCTTGCAAGATTTAGTAAGAACTTGCAGGCCAGCTGATGCATAATGCTGTTGCTTGCTTCTTGCTGCTGCTAGTGTTGCAGATAAATGCAGATTGCAGAGCCAGTGTGGAAAACATTGTTCCTGTGTCAGCCGCGGGGGGATTAACTCATAACCCACTTAAGTGAAGCTGAATTGGTCTAATAATGGTGTAAGTGAAGAGTTGCCAAAAGAGTTATGTTTTATTATGGGATTTTAAAATATAACTGACATGCCAATGAATGTACAGAGACAATATTGCTTATTGTGCTTTAGGTCTATGGGACTTGGTGTTTGGTAACTGTGGGACTTAGTGTTTGGAATAGGGAGCACAGGACGGGCAATGGCGCATAAGGACAAGGTCCTCAGACAGCTGAAAGATATAAAAATTACAAATGAAATATACTGCGCATAATGTGACTATGATGCAAAGCAGGTTACAATCCGTCATGCCTAAATTTAGAGATTAACTTGAAGCAATCATGCTATAACTGAATAACGAACAAACAATTAGTAAATTAAGGATTGATAATTAAATTTAGTATAGTAAGTTAGATTGCAAGAGTTATTGAAGCAAAAATTCTAATTAATAAACACAAAGCAAACAACATTTTCAGTAGATTTGACACAATAATGCAAGTGAAGTTATATAAGTAAAACAAGGACCGCATCACCATTAATAGGCATTATGTCTACGAACACTTGAAACAAAGTTAACTAGATTATGGTAGGATTGTGCTCAAGTAATGCAAATGAAAAATGCAATGGTTAAAAATATGTGAAAAATGCAGTATTAAGGAAGACATACATACCGTCAACCGGGGCAACTCGGGACTGGCGGGGCAACTCGGGACGCACCTCTGACACGTTGTAAAACAGTCATAGTAGCAAAACTAATTGGAATATTGCTAAACTAAATATAGTGGCCTAAACAACAACATTTTTCCTATCTATGTAGTATAAAGGAAGTCGAAAAATACGACATTTACTAGCTTTGAAAAATTCCTGAAAAAAATGGTGAAAAACGCTATTTTGAAAAGTTACTTCTGCTCAGGTCTGTAGCAAAAAAAAATATTTGCCGTATTAAAAAATTTTACTTACATAAAAGTTGCACCCAGGTGTCGGCTTGAAAACGTAATTGACAGATTTTGCCTATCTCATTAAAAAAAATGGCGGCCATTTCCGCACGGCGGGGCTAATCGGGACACCCCCCCGGGGCTATTCGGGACACCCCGGAAAGCACATTTACAGTAGAACCTCAGTTAGCAAAGGCTCCAGTTAAGAAAAAAATTGATTAAAAACAAAGAATATTGATTACATTTACCTTGCTGAGCGAAAAAAAAAAGTTCACTTATCGTCTCACAAATTACAAGCTGTCCTGTAAGCTTACAGATACAGAAAAAATGCTATGATGCTGCTGATATGAAGCTTGCAGTGGACAAGGTTGTTGTAAATGCTCAATGGCATGTTCATGGATACCATAATATCACATCAATAATACAGTAATATCCCATCAATAATACCATAGGGTCAACTGGGTGATTTGGCCCTGTTCATAATGATGGCCAAAGTGGGGTAATAAATGGTCATAAACAGTGGCCAAAGTCACTCAGGCGTTTATGACCTGGTTTACAACCCTGGCGTTTATGACCCCGGCGTTTACGACCCCGCGTTTACGACCCCAGCATGAATCAAAAACACAGCCTAAGTCACCCCAGTTGAGGGTAATTAATGTTTATGGTAATATCATTTCAATGAAGGAAAAACTAGTAAAAGTCACAGAAAATGTCATTTATTCTACCTCTACATTGTCTACAATGAAAGAGGAGGACTTCAGAGTACTGTTAGTAATGGATGAGTATGCTCTGCATGCTTCAAATATTTTAAAATGAAGTTTTATTCCCAGTGTCCGGAGTAGCCCCGTCGAACGAGTAGCCCCGTCGAACGGGGCTACTCGGGACACTCTTTTTTTTTGCTTCTGGCACCTTACGAATAGCATATGGAATTTTTTTGAAGATGCCATTCGATAGCCCTCGCAAAGAGCTATAAAATGAGCCTAAACTTGTTTATGAAATGTTTCATCATAAGAAGTTGTTAACAAAAAACGCTCAAAACCGTCCCGAGTAGCCCCGGTTGATGGTATATATACATTATCTGGAAGAGCTTCACCCACCCAACAGTATTGCAGAGTTATCTTGATACCTTGGGCTGTATTGGCAGCATTTTAATTATTAGCTTGAATTTTACTTGGTTGGAATTTAATTATTATATCTGTTCTGAAACGATATGAAACAAAAGGATGCATTAAGTATGAAAATTGGTTAATGACACAGATGGGTTGAGTGGAGAAAAGCAATAATGCCTTCCAGCAACAACATCTCTCTTTAGGGCTGTGACTAGAGCTTTCCCACCATTTCCAGAACCATGAGATTCCCGCCAGATGAATAATCTCCAATCTGATTGTTAACAAAAGTGCCCAATGGGGCCGCAAGTTTCTAAATGTATTAAAAAGTTTTCACACCAGAGCAGCGAGATTTCATAAATAAGTAGGAAAATTCCAATCCTGTTGCAGAGGAGGTCGATCAGGGATTGTGCAGCTTGCCCAGAGGCCAGGAACATGTCCTTGTCCAGTTGTCTCTTGAAGGCCTCCAGGGTGAACTCCCCCAGTCCCCCTCTCTTAGATCCTTTGGTAGGATGTTAAACAGCCTTGGCCCTGCCACAGAAAGTGATCCTTCCCACAGGGATTGAAATCTGACTGCAGATTTTAGATGTTCTGTCTGTCAGATGACTGTCTCAGATGTTCTAGCTTGCTCAATTGCTATACTAATTTGTAATTTTGGGCAGAATTTTTTGAAATTTCAGGTAAAAACAACAAAAACTATTATTTTACAATTTTTAAAAAATCCATAATGAAAATATGATATTTTTATTTATTTAAAAAAAATTAGGCAAGAATGATAATGGGTGAAATTGACTGCAATTATGGTTGTTTTTATCTCATTTGTGTTTTTTTTTCTCTCATATAGGCTTTCAGGGTTGGCTTCTCCCCAATTCCCAGAATGGCCTGCTAAGCTGAGCTGCAGAGTATACCATACATAATATTACATTACATAATATAAAAATAAGTGGAAGTTTTTTCTTTATGCATCTGAATGAAAAATTAACTTGACTAGTACTTCAATAAAAATATTTAATTTTTTTAGATTTCCCATTCTTCTAGACTATTTTATTGAAGTTTTGTGTTTAAATTCCCAACTGCCATGGATCTGAATGATGAAAAACAAGAGACCAATGCCACCAACCCTTCAGTGCAACTTCCCAGGATTTCTACTAATATTCAGCCAAACACTGCCTCAGAAAAAATAAATCCACCAGCAGATGTAGCTATCACATCTGATTCAGACAAAGACAAAGATGTTCCAGTTGCATTAAATAACTCTTTTGAGATGATAAAAAACACTCCTGAGAAGAGTATTGTCCCTGACTGCCCCTCTGAGTTTGAAACAGCTCCAGATATTACTGGATCTCTTGAAGCAGCATCAGCAATGCCAGTGACACCTATTACTCACAGTAATAATCCAAATGCTGATGTTGCTGCCATTGCTTGTGTAACTGACATCAAAGCATGTGCCAGTGGAGGTAACAGTGCACCACCTGGTCAGCTAAGTGCCAGAAAGAAAGGCTGGCCAAGAGGTCGCAAAAGACGATGTTTACCAAAAGATGCTCCTAAAGCTCCCCTGTCAGGTGAGGCATCTTTTCTTTTTATTGGCTTTCCATCATTTGTTGCTGACTAAATTGTTTGCAGAAATAATATCTAATCTGATTTGCAATCTCAAACATTTCAGTCTTAACTTTGCTGAAACTTCAGTGGTGTCCATTCTGTGATCAGTATGCATTCTCACAATTTTACCAAGTCCATATTTCATGAGAGGTAACAAGTGCATATATCCTTTGCAGCTAAAAATATATTATTACTTTATTTTTAGCTGATATTTTAAAATTAATTAAGCTACCAAGGTTAATTGATCTTTAATGTATGAACCACCATTCTTATATATAATTCCAACCTGTTCGCCAGGCTACATGCTGTACATGGCGGCACAGAGGGAGGAGCTACGACTTAGCGAGTCTCCGCCCTCCTTTGCTGAGCTGGCCAAGATTGTGGCCCACAAATGGGCTGGTATGGATGCTGCTCAGAAGCAGAAATACCTTGATGCTTCTGAAGTCGAAAAGGAAAGGTGAACCCAGATACAATATTTACTCTCAACATCATTTATAAATGTACAGGCAGAAATGCACTGTAATCGTGTATTTGTATAAATTTATTATTTGTGTTTTTACATTTATTTAATGTACTTACGGTGTCCAAGTATGCTTGCATCAACTTGTTATTTTTGCATATGGATTTACAGAACTAATGCATTAAAGCATTCTAAATGAATTAACTATACTACTTGAAAAGTAAATGTGATGAAGCATTATTCTAGTGTACCGCTATTCTTGAATTGTGTATCAATTCTGTCAATTCAAAACTGTCTTTACATACATTTGTTTGTAAAACATAATTAATATGATTTTATTTCGTCTCAGTAATGGAAATGAATTTGTTAACTAACAAATTTTTCTGTCTTTTTATTTGTTTAAGAATTGCTTATGTTACTACCAAATATCTTAAGATAAAAATCTAAAGATGTCTTCATACGTTATTAATAATCCAGATCTATGGCAGGTGGTATCATTGGTAAAGTTTAAATATAGGCTTATTTTAATTATCATGCTTTCAGAGTAGTTTAATGTCCAAAATGGGAACTATTTCAGTACCATATTTTAAATTATATTTTTCCAATGTGAAACTTCAATTCATTCATTTATGTTCGTATTTGGTTGTTTCTTAGTCATTTCATGAAAGTATGATATTTTTTGAGAGCCAATTATGTTAAAATGAGTATTTTTGATGAATATTTTCCTTGAAAGCTGATAAAAATGGTTTGACTTAACAGATACCAGGAGCTGTTGGTTTACACTGATAAAAATGGTATGACTTGACAGGTACCAGAAGGAGCTGTTGGTGTACACAAAGACTGACTCGTATAAGAATTTCATGGCACAGCAAAAGCAACAAGAAGAAAGCCTTGCTGATGAATCTGCTGTCAACATCAACGCTGCCATGACAACCCCAAACAAGCTTCATATGGAAGACCTCACTGCCCCACACAAGACCCCAATTGAAGATGAGGCTTCCACTCCTCCTGACACTAAACGTCCCAGGCGGGAATGCCCATCTTTGATCTCCAATGGCATTGTCACGCAAGCCAAAGATGACAGTGATGATTTTGTACGTTTTTGATAATTAATCTGATATTTTCTGGACACAATTATAGAAATTACAAATGTGAGGAATTCTTCAATTTCTGTTGTCAAGCAAAGATGTCATATTATATATACTGTTCATGTTTTTTGACATATAAGTGTTATTGTCTGCATAAAATTCTATTTATCTATTATATATTGACAATGTTTGTTTACATATGCCTCATTTCAGATTGGCTAGTTCTTATGGCGATGTTGATATGAGGGTCCGGCTCATTTATTTACCTACTGTTTAGTTTCTTCCTTGAATTAATCATAATTCTTCACTTGAGTTGAGCATTTTTAACACAATTAGTATCTCTTGTGCCAAAATATTCTACTTCATAACTTACTTTCTCGTACATACTTTTTCAAGGAGTACCATTATCAATTGCTAAATTAATTTTCAGCAGATGCAATAACGATTATTTACAATATATGTTAAATTTGAATTGTGGATGGGAACATCTGATTGCTAAAATGATTTTTTTATATAATTTCAGAGTTTCTATGATAGTTCACTACCACTCGAAATTCCCATCTTCACGGAGCAGTTCTTGAGGCACAATAAAGGTTTGTTCTGTAATACTTGGCCTCTTCATTTATATCTTAATATATCTACTTTTATCTGTTGTGATTACTTTTTTCAATCTTATGTTTTGTTGCTAGCTCTGCTGATTCGCCGACACATTGCTCATGAAATGGAATTAATTCTATTAATTTTATTGTAATTAAAATTTGTTGTTTTGTGCTGTTGGTGGCAGAGGACTGTAGGAGAATAAATAATAGGTTATTGAAAATGAGATATAGCAAGAATGAGAATAAAAAATGACTAATGCTAATAAATGACGGAGAGCGATGTAATACTTAATGTTTTTTTTATATTCTATTTATGTTTGATGTGGCTCTGCTCTTGTTAGAGTTTCTTGTGCTTTTTCTTGGTGTTAAAGTATACTTATATTATCAGACTGCTTATTTTGCAAGTTCACAAGGAATTTAAAAACAAAAAAACGCCAAGCAAATTCACCATATCGATATTGAAAACGTTTCGGAGTCCAGCTCCATCATCAGTTCGACAATCTAAAAATGAATACAATCATTTATTTTTTATAATTTTTAATTATAAAATTATTGTATTCATTTTTAGATTGTCGAACTGATGATGGAGCTGGACTCCAAAATTGTTTCAATGTCGATATGGTGAATTTGCTTGGCGTTTTTTTTTTGCTTTTGAATTTCTCTTGGTGTTTAAAGTTTATTTTTGTTTGCTTGTTTGTTTAGTTTGTGTTAAGGTTTATTTATGCTGATTGTCAGTTTTGGTTGTCTTGTTTGCCACTGAGTGTACCGTTGCTGCAGGTCGCGAGGCAGAGCTGCGGCAGCTGCGCAAGTCTAACGTTGAGTGCGAGGAGCAGAACGCGTTGTTACACAAGCACATCGACTCCTGCAGGTGACGTGGGCAGTAGCGGCCATGTTGTGTGACATGAATTAACGTGCATGTTATGTTATGAAGTAACGTGCATGTTATGTTATGAAGTAACGTGCATGTTATGTTATGAAGTAACGCGCATTTTATGCTAGTACATTTAAACTTGAATATATCTCATGATACTGCAACTTACTGTTCTCGAACCTACAACCATAAGTTTCCTTACGGATTTGGTCTTCCATTCAACTCGACTCATTGGTTTCCTTACTCATTCGGTTTAGAACCTCACACATTCAGTTTCCTGTATGGAAACCTCCATTCAGGACCTGGTATATGTAAACGAGTCTCTGGTATTCAGTCCTCACTCCCCAAATATTTGATGAAATGTACCTATTCTTAGTTACGTGGCTAACATGAATATATATTTATGAGCAAATAAATAACTGGCAAATTATAGGATGATTGTTTTTAGTTATGTGTCTGTTAATACCAATTCAAGCATAAGAATATAATAATTGTTTGTTATTAACTGGCACGTTACAGACTGAGCCTGCAGAGGTACGAAGCAGAGACTGCAGAGCTGAAGAAGAAGTCGGAGGCTCTGCAACGTCACCTCAGTAAGCTCAGAGAGGATCTGGCCGCTGCCTTCACCTCCACTCCCGCCCCAGGTGAGGACTTGCCATTGATTAGTATCATTAATTGATTTGTCTAATAAGCTTTGCATTTTAGTTATCGTCATATTTCATGTTTGTGTCATTGTTCAAAAAACATGCTGGTTGGACAACCCCAGGCCAAATGGAACTATCGTCCCACTAAAATAGAAAACATAAACAATTATATAATTGTTAAATAATTACCCATGGTAATGCATAATAATCGTGTATAATTTATATAGTTGTTCAAATAACACACAGGTTAGACGACCCCAGACGCGGCCAAATGCATAGATGGCGTCCCACTAAAAAAAAAAACATAGATAATTGTTTAATAAATTACACATGGTAATGCATAATAATCGTTTATAATTGATATAATTGAGGTAATTGATCAAATAACACACAGGTTGGACGACGCCACCCACGGCCAAATGTATAGACGAATACCTGGCGTCCCTGCACGCCGCCCTCACCGCGTCGCCCCCTGCCGCCCTCAACCGCTCCGTGCAGCTCACCGTCCAGCACATTGTGACGGGCCTCCTGCTGCAGTGATGTGTCGTGTGATGATGTGTGATATGCTGATGTGTGATGTCGTGATGTGTTGTATTGTGTCCTGCAGTGATATGTGATGTGGTGTTGTTGTTGTTGATGTTCCCCGAGCCCCGGTCACGCCAGGAAGCCCGCGCCGCGCAGGAAAGCCGCCACCCGAGCCGGCTCGGACCACAACTGCGTGATGGATGTTATGCCTGCCGGCGCCTGGGTGCTGCCAGCTCCGGGCACTCGAGCAGAAGATGCTTGACGGTGTGGGGGAGTGAATGACATTGGGGGCACAGGTCCGTTTGAGTGCTGTCCAGGCGGTGTTTGTAAGAGTTTAGCGAGGTGGTGTTGTGTGATGTGTGATGTTGCGACGTGTTGTACTGTGTCCTGCAGTGATGTGGCATGTGGTGTTGTCTGATGTGCTGATGTTTGATGTCGTGATGTGTTGTACTGTGTCCTGCAGTGAAGTGTGATGTGGTGTTGTGTGATGGGTGATGTGTTGTACTGTGTCCTGCAGTGATATGTGATGTGGTGTTGTGCGATGTCGTGATTCGTGATGTGTTGTACTGTGTCTTGCAGTGATGTGTGATGTGGTGTTATGTGATGCGGTGATGCGTGATGCAGTGATGTGTGATATGGTGTTATGTTATGTGGTGATGTGTGATATAGTGTTGTGTGATACAGTGATGTGTAATGTGTGATGGGTGTTGTGTGTCTAGCAGTGATGTGTGATGTGGTGTTGTGTGTTCTGCAGTGATGTGTCCTGTACAGTGCATTGTGTAACGGATTGATTCAAGGCAACAATATACCATAATTCGTGAACTCCGGGCATTAAAGCCACTATTTTTTCTTCCCAGAAATTGTGATTCTTTTTCCCCTCACGACTTTCCTGTCACTAAGTGCACGATGAATTTACTATCTCATTAGTTCGTGATAAGTTTCATGTTCTGTATACGTTTAATTGCGTACGGAAAGTTTCGAACTCAGCCAAACGTCGAGCGTGCTGGCTTTCATTAAATTTCGTTTTCTAGATATTTCTGTTTTCTGAGAAATAAATTCACTCCTTATTTCTCCACTAAAATATTCGTTCTGTATTCCCGGGACTCTGGCATTTTTAATGCAACAAATTACTGACCTCTATGGTAGGTAAACTGTAATACAAGGGTTGTTTAATACGAAAATTTAAATGTTCGAAAACCAGATTTACCCAAAGTTGTGATATTTTTTTATTGTAGTATGATTTACTTATTTTATAATTTACTGTTCGTCATGACTCGTGGTAAGTGACATTTATTTGGCTGATATGCTGCTGAAATGTTATTGAGGTGAAATTGTAATGTTATTAACGATCTTATACCTTGAGTGTCCACACTCGCTTAGACTTTACGTTATATAGTATGTGTTATGGTAACTATAACTAGCGAAATCCGACAAAAATTTTAGATTAGCAATTTATGCTCACAAATGTACAAATTATATTAAAATAACGTTTCATAAGTGTTTATTTTGACCTTTCTAATCAATAATTGTCACTCGCTTGGTTTACACAAGAAATGTAGTACCAATATTATTTGTGGTGCTGTTGAATTTCTTTATTTTCTTTTATTTTCTCCTGAAAAAGAATTTCTTTATTTTATCCAAGGAAGTCGCGCTTTTTGGAACTCCTTAAGAAAAATTCCGCTGGGGTTCTTTGAAAATTTTGCGTTGGTTGGATCTGTGGAGCAACCTAACTGTGGACTTACAATGCCGCTCAAAACCTACTCACGTTCAGTGCTCGAGTGAAATTTCTTCGCAGCGTTATTGGGAACGCCTTCGCATTTTGGTTCTTCTTGCTGGAAGCTATTGGCACGTCCTGTATAATACGTATATGCTTTCGACAATTCAGTTTAGTCTATTCACTTGCGCAAATTTTCATTCTGGTCAAATGTGTTTGTGTGCATCGAACGATCACAACGAATCAAATCAGCATCCTACTGGTTTCAAGATTTTTCCTCATTAATCAAATATACTTCTTTATTGTCTACCGATTTGGCCGTCTTGGTTCTCAAGCACACACTTGTAAAACAATAAAACTCGTTCTTTTGTGTGCTATGGTTTTGCTATTGAATGAAATACATAACAGTTGCGTGTAAAGAAAACTTTTATGACGTAAACATTAGGCACCCAGGCTTGCATTTTCTAAGGAGTTCAATTCTTTAGGTGATATAGGATTCTATATCAAAACTACACTATACTATAGTGGAAAAGAAAAAAGGCATCTTGTTTTATCCAATCTTTTATCATCGGTAAATATTTACACAATTACAGAGTTGAAATTATTTAATAATGTTTGCTAAAATTCGATAAGTGACAATAAAATATCAAACTATTTATTTTTAACAGAGTGATATGTCAGCATTCAGTTAAACCAACTTCTGAGGTCCAAGTCTCATATTATACATACTCAAATCCTCCTCCGAGTTTCAAAGATCATACTTATTATTAGAACGACTATAATTTGCTATTATTAATTAAAAAAAATTTGATTAATGAGAAGGTAATCACTGAATTTTTAGTTGCAAATTTCGGGAAATTATACATGGTTTAGTTTTTCATGCGGTAATTTTGGGTCCTAAGTGTCCCATCGGTAAAATTTATATAAAAGACTTTGAGTAATTATATAACTGATGCATTTACAATCCTGCAAATATTACGGGAAACATTATCATGCTATTGCTTTTTTCGGTGATAGTTTGAATTGTGTTCGAGGGACCCACTGTTTGTTTGCTTTGGTCCAGCAGGATTAAATAAATGTGTTGATAAATTCTCTTTGATAAACATTCCAGGATACACTGGTGAATTCCTTTCAATGTTCAAGTTTTTCACAATTGTTTAATGCAACGTATACACATCCTACTACAACGCATGACATTTCCTGATCTAACATCAGTTCCATTCAATATATTTATAACAGTAATTACATATATATCAGACGTTAATTAGTTTAATAACTATACGATCTACTATATATACCTACACCGTTGGAAGTTTTGGTACAAATTACGTACACATGTATTACACACATGTATAAATGTATAAATGTATAACACATGTATAAATTACGTACACATGTGATTTGATTTGGGCTGATATCCATGGCACCATTAGCCTACTCGACAATGCAGCTGCTTGGCCTGCGGCCAGCCGCTGCAACCCTCGATCCATCCGTACGTCAAAGAGTCAATTTGCTCGTTGCTACTCCCGCCCCTCGTCTGTCTTATCGCGGATGCCGTGCCGGTCGTAAGAGGCGTACTGCCGCCATGTATCGGGTTGTGTGCGACGGTGGTGCATTTGTGATAATTGGCAATCGGCCGTTGCCACGACGGCAGCCACCTGTGCTAGACTGTACGTCGGCTGATCCTTCTGCTGCTGAACGTGGACCTGTGTCGGCTCGCAGGCCTCATAACCTGCGCAGTGTCCATGTCGATCGTCACTCCGCGCAGACGTGTCGCCGGTTAATGTTCGGCAGCCTAAACATCCGTTCACTGAACAACAAAGTTGATGAGTTCCTTCACATCCGCCGCTCGCGCTCTCTGGATGTCGTCTTCTTGACCGAGACCTGGCATGATGCTGACTCGGTTTCCATCGCGCGTCTTCGGGCTGAGGGACTCCAAGTGGTCGAGCGTGCACGGCCTCGCGCGCAGCCCAACACCCTAGTGACGAATCACGGCGGACTAGCGACCGTCGCCTGCGGCGTGAATCTGACCAGGCTCGACATCGGCTCCCGACCCACCACCTTCGAGCTGCTGTGTGTCACGGTCGCTTGCGGCTCGTTCGCATGTGTTGCTGTCGTCATCTATCGTCCCGGATCAGTTGCTGTCACACGTGATTTTTTTGTTGAATTAAGCGATGTTTTAACTAGACTTGTGACCCTCACCGGTCACGTTTTTATCACTGGTGATCTTAATGTTCGACTGGATCGTGCCGACGACCAATGGGCGCGTCAGCTGAACGATCTGCTGTCTGCCTTCGGCATGGTCTGTCACGTTACCTTACCAACCCATGACCTTGGCGGGTTGCTGGATGTTNCCTCACGTCTGTCCACCGTCGGCGACAGAGCGTTCCCGGTCGCTGCGGCCAGAACATGGAATGGTCTGCCAGCATCGGTGACATCTGCTTCTTCGCTGACGTTGTTTCGTCGACGCCTAAAAACAGAACTTTTCCGTAGAGCCTTTGAATCTTAGGCCTAGCCGTTATCTAATTTATCATGGATATTACTGGTTTAGCATAGGTGTTATTTGTTCTAGTATAGACGTCATCAGTCTTGGCATAGGTCCTCTGTTTTAGCATAGATGTCATCTGTTTTTATCATCTTGTGTTTTTTAGCCGCTTGTAACGTGCCCTCGAAGTTCGATCTGAACGAGACGCCACGACAATCTCTTCGTGGAATAATAATAATAATAATAATAACATGTAGAATTATTCGAAAGTCTCACAAACAGACAAAAGTAATTCACAAAGTTTCGAATAATATTTCTTCATAATGAAGGGCTAACCAAACCATTTACGCAGTGGTTCAACAAGATAGAAAAGAATTCGATTTCCTTTAAATTACAATTGAATGAAAATCTCCAGCCATGTCGCTTTTTTTACCCTACACGCGCTAGTATTACAAGACAAATATTTTTTTTAATAACTTCGTCATTTAATTAGTGAAATTGTTGCTAAGAATTATGTGGAAGTATAAATGGCAGTCAGGTATTTCAAAACTGAATTTGAGGGGAATGAAAAATGAAAACGTTTCAGTGTAAGGCCTTTCTAAATCGCTCAAGTTTGTAGTAAGGTCAGTATCTGTTCTAAGATCTTCAACTTAACATCGAGGTCAGGATTAACTTGAGGTTGTGAACTTTAAGATCAAGATTATTGCAATCGTATTGCTTTGCTACCGTTTGATAATATTCGTCATCTCCAATAATGGAGATTGTGGATTTCTTACCATTAAGTTAAACTGGTATTGCTATGAAATGAATGATGAATCAAGAATTGTCAGCTAAACAATCTTCCTCCATTCAGGCCCAAGTTGTTTTTTAAGGATATATTGAAATTAATTGTGTTAAGTTATCTTTTGCCATCGTTCGCAAGAAAAATCTCAACTATATGTAACTTCTTAGGAATTGAAATAGGAACACGAAATTCTATTAGTTTAACAGCATTTTAGAATAAAAAGCTTCTGCAAATTCGCATTATTATAAATAATCAATATTCAGTAATCTACTTAAAATATATAAGAAATACCTGCGCGCAACTCCAGGCCCTAAAAAGGTTTCACAAATAATTTGAGTCGTCATGATTATGTTGTTCCAATATTTTTCTTTAATTGCCTGTCGGGTAAGAATTATTTTGTTTTATTACTTCATTTACTTACGAATCCATGTTTTTTTGTGAATATAAATAATCATGTATTTATCATGTACCATCTTTTAATGCTTTAAACACTGCCAATTATGAAGGTTTGCAACATGCGAATGTTACTGAAGAAACATACACAATATTAACATGCCTTAATAATGATTAATCTGTACAATTAAGTATCGAACACACCACACACACACACACACAGACACACACGTACAGATCCGCTTCACATAAAGCAGCCAGTATACATCGCGGTTCGAGGCAATACAAGCTAAATCTACACACAAATGTCCGAATAAAATAATTGTATGAGCAATTCTTCGTGGTTAGAATCAGTCGATTGCTGATTCTTTTACGCAATACGTGAATAAATTATGTATAAAGCATTTACTGCTCATAATTGAATTACTTGTTAATGCTATCCGTTAACTACGATGCACACATAGAGTTAATGTTTGACTCCATGAAGTGGTAGCATTAATTTTAACAGTAGCATTAACGTCCTAAATATATTGAAATCGAATCTTTTTAATTTTTTTGTGTTTTTAATTTTTTGGTATTTACTAAACTAAGAATCAGTTTTTTCAAATTTGAAATTTTTAGCCCTTGACACACAAAACTTTATGCTGTCTTCAATTGGGTAGATATATACGAGCATTGAAGAATATGTTTGAGATTTCAATAATTATTGCAATCAAATGTTAACTCATTCTTATTGCTTCTATGGGTGTTGTTTCCATGATCATATATTTATTGCATTGTTTTAAAATTAGCTATCCTTTTATTGCATTCTTTGGCGCATCATAACTTTTGCACCGAGTAATTTATTTGTCAAATTTCGATCGCTCTCTAGCCGACAGATTCACCATCCGATATTATATCCAATTTTTATTGTCTGCTATCCAAAATATATTTTCTGCTATTTTAAATACTGTCTGCTATCCCAAATATATTGAATGCTATACCATATGCATATGCCCTGGGTGTCAACATCAGTGCTTCCAAAAAAATTTTTAACGATCGAATCAAAACTAACCACAGAGCATTACCAACCACAAATACAACATTTTACCTGTTAATGTGCAGTATTAGTTGCATTTTCAATAATTTATTGTACTAATAATAAGTTTTTTAACTAACAGAACTCTCTGAATTTGATAGGTGGGCGGCGCTTGGTAATCGTTGCAAATCTTTGCCAGACATTCTTTTGAAATGAACAAACTGCAAGCTAATAATCGTTTTTGGTAGTGAAAGCATCCTTGTACCATTTATAGTAGCTCCATTATTCGGGTACCATTTATGGTAGCTCCATTATCCGGATACCATTTATGGCAAGCTCATTATCCGGGTACCATTTATAGTAGGTAGTAGCTCTATTATCCGGGTACCATTTATGGTAGCTTCATTATCCCAACTGAGTTTTTTTCTCTCAGATGTCCTGAAATCTCAATTTCGCTTCAGTGAACTTGAGTTTACCTTGAAATGCTATTAAATAATTTCCAGTTGAAATAGGTTGCCACGTGGAGGAAATCGGCTTGACGACCAACAAAAATTCGTCTATGGGTTGAAGTAAGGAAATAAGGCAGACTTACTTTAATTTAGTAGATTAAAAATTGTATTTTCGAATGGATCTTCCCAGAAAAATCTTAAAAAATTTTCTGGGGCTCTGAAATTCGTTGCTTTTGCTACTATGTAATGGAAATCAAGCGTTGAATTGATTGATATATGAATTCCTAGTGGTCAACAGCGCGTATTTATAGGGAAAATCTCACGATACCGGAAAGGAAGCACCGAAACTTACAATGCAAGTGCACTGAAACCCACTACTTGGATATAGTTGCCCATGTCTTATCAAATTTATTGGATGCAAGATCAAAAATAAGTGTTTGTAACTTCATGGAATATACTGAAATAAACTACAGTCTTCATTGTAGCATTACATTCCACTCACCATTGCGGGTATTTTCACCCAAAACCACCACGGAAATGATACCGCACACCACCATTACCAGCACGCGCCATGCTCTATCATAGACACCCATCGAGCTTCCAGCACCCGAACTCATGCCTAGAATATCCCGGTAATTATTCTGCGAGTAATGCGAGCCAATGGTTGTGGGCTGGTTGAGATAAGGTGGTGGTCTGGTTGAATATGCATAGCGGTTGATTTGGTGGTGGTACGAGCGCTGGTCGCCTGGTGCAACCACGTCTACCCGTGTCGCGATGTCGGCGTGGTTGCGGCCACCAGATAACAGGTCCCGAGACTCGGTCACGGGGGGCGGCTCGGTGGCGGTAGTTCGGGGGGAAGGCGGCTCGATTTCTGCGGAAAAATATATTGATCGGTGGGGTGAAATATATTGAAATCTGTGATAAAATATATTGATCTCTGTGCTAAAATGTTTTGATGCTTTGATATTTATGAAATATCAGGTATGTGATATATGTGACTAGAAGTATATGACTTCATTCTCATTTGAAAGATTACGTATTATGCGTGAGTTTTCAATACAAGTTGCATTGCGCAGTGCGTTACGAATACAGAGATTCTTAAGCTAGTATAACAAGGAAATATTAACACTGTATTATTATTGCATAAATTGTCTTACCATAGAGCTTGATGCTGCCCACGACTTCGCCGAGGGAGTTCTTGGCCGTGCAGGAGTAGGTCGTGAAGTCGCCTTCGTCCAAGTTCTTGACCGAGAGGCGCAACGCCATCGTGTACGGGTTCTTGATGATTTCTTCGTTGACGTATTTTCGACTGTCAACAATGACGGGACCTGAGACAGAAATTATATAAGAAAGAGACTGGGGCACAAAAATGTCATATATTATCAAGGAATATCATCGTGAACGGGTTTTTTGTGATCTCTTCCTTAACGTACTTTCGACTGTCAAAAATGACGAGACCTGCGTAACATGCGACACAGAAATAATATATAATATCAGGAAGTGTTATCGTGTACGGGCTTTTTTATGTTCCCCTCGATCGTTGGCGCGTTATCAGCCGCAAATTAGTTCTGCTGATTTATCATAGATGGATATTGTAATAGACATTGATTAAACACGAACAAGGTTCAGAATAACCATGACCGCTTATTTCGTTAGCTGCCGATCTCAAAAGTATAGTCATTAAATATTATTGGTGTGGGTTGTTATACATTGTTAACCTTATGGAATTTTAGAAACACATATTCGTTTTTGTTCAATTTCAATCTAATCAACTGAATTTCAATCGCGATCTGATGCCGGTCCACAACACTGATTTATATTCTCTAGCATGCTAATTTTACCTATATCCTGATGTTGGACTACAGTTATAGAAATGCTTTATCTATTCCGTTTCTGTCTTATAGTGCTCACCATGCTGGTCTAGTTTGGTCCAATAGTTTATACTCTTGGGGCTCGCTTCGACCTCACATTCTAGTGTTACGTCCGTACCGCGCGGTGCTCCCACAAGTTGGTTAGGGATCCGCACCAGCGGATGAACTGAGCGGATGAATACCAGCAGTTATCCAGAGGTACATATGCATATTATAGTATTTGCTATATATAATATATGCCTGCATGCAAGGCATGCTCAGTACTCTTTATTTAGACTATAAATTTAAATTTTCGGCTGGTTTTTAAATGTCTTTACGACTCACATTCGAAGTAAATTTTACTGATCGATAGAGAAAATATATACAAATAGTAAGCAAGTATTAATATAAAACTATAAAGCAAATTTTCGTAAAAACAACATGTAATTGATTATCAGCACACAACAATAAGTTGAAGTTTACTATCTGGTTTCGTCCGGATTAAATTCATTAAAATTTGGTTCGAGAGGAATATGACGTTTCAATTTCATAAATCAAATATATTTCTTACAAACTTGCTGCTTGACAACTGTTAAAATAAAATATTGTGCATTTCTTTTCAATTCCGCAAATAAAATATTGTCTGACAACCTCGGTGCTTAACAACTGTTAATATAAAACACGGTACATTTTTTGAAATTATATTGGATGGGATATAATTTTTCTCATGGACATAAATGGAGCAACTCACAGTGCACCATGACGAGTATGCGCTTGCTGACGGCTGGAGGGATGTCGTTGGATGCGATGCACATGTACGCACCCATGTCATCCCGGGTTACTTTCTCCAGTACTAAATCCCGGCCTTCATACACGGTCACTGATGGATGTATATTATTATTTGATTATTATCAACTTGTGCGAAATTTCAGTTTTTTTGCAAGGTCCAATGACGGAAATAGTCTTATCTTGTAGTTCGGTCCAAACAAAACATATTTTTTTATTGTCCAAAAAATTGAAATCAAACCTCTTAATAGAGCCTTTTCTTCCTGGTTTGAACGAATCTTTCAAATGCCTCAAATTATCGATAAATTAAAATAAAAAAATTGTGACAGAAACCACGAACTTTCATTTAAGCTACTGAATGAATGCACTGAATGAATTGTCGAAAATTTGATCGTATGTTTCCTAAAGTAGCCATAACAGCAAATAATTTTTGAAAATGAATGTTTGAAGCTAAAAAAACGCTGCACTTCGCATCATACCAAGAACTAAAACATTACTTTTAATGCAGAGCTATTCCTAAATTTTACTGTAAACCATCGGCATTTTTAATGCAAAATAACTACGGATGATTGACCTTTTAGACCAATTCCCTCATATTCCGCGGTTATTGGATTGCCAGGTCGGTAGAGCATGAGAAACCGCCGTTCCTTTCCAGTGCTAAGGCACATTTATTCAAATTCGTTAAAATCACATATTCATTCACATCTCACATTCATTCACATTTTACACTCATTCACATCTCACACTCATTTTTGGGTCCTCCCTGGCTCCTCAGGATAATGGGTGCCCCGTCCTCCCTCCTCCACTTGATGGTGGGTTCTGGGTAGCCGTGGGCACTGCAGGTGAGTTTCACGGGACTGCCCTCAGGCACCATGATGTCCCCCGACGTTTCTTCACTCACGATGTCGGGTGGTATCACCACGTTCAGGTACCCTACCTGCGGATGGACCATCTAAATGAGAACCTGACCTTTTATGTATGTTTCGTGAAAACTATTTTTATTATAAAATTTATATAGATGCGTTAAGTGTCGGGATGCTTGTCCCTAGCAAGAAACACATGCAGAATGATACTTTATTTTCGACCGTGTGTTTTTTTTGTCCAATATAAAAAAACACAAAATGATACCTGGTCTTTTAATGTCGTGTTTCTTTTAAATGTCGTGTTTCATTTAATGTCGTGTTTCTTGTCGTAAAAAAGACAAAAGATTACCTGGTTTTTCATGGGATCTGTGTTGATCTGACACATGTATTCTCCGGAGTCGTTGCGCCGGACCGACTTGATGGTGAGCTCCCATGTGTTGTGGTCGGAGTGGATGACGGACATTCGGTTGTTGTGGGTGATCACTCGGTTGTGGATGGCCAGAATAGCCTTAGTGTCCGCCTTGATCCATGCCACCTGGAGAATATCAAGTATTATAGTCCATGCAATGGTGGAATCGACCATTGCAATGGTGGTATGACCGTTCAGACCATTTTTTACTCATGAGGATAGGGCTTGAACCTGTAGAAAGAGGTTACACATTGAACGTCTTCCTGTCATGCCGCATCTCCTGGCAATAGTGGCTGAAGTTAGAACATTCTGCAAATTATATATTCAATCAAACGATTTAAAATATTCGCATTGAAAATACAATGAACCTTATCTATAAGTGTGCTTTGACAGATGCTTATATGGGATTTTACCGAGTTTCATGGTATTATGCAGCTGTTTTAAAAATCGCTTACAGGTATTAAAATTCTCATACACTCATCTTGTATTGGCGGATAGTCCGTTGAATTTTAAATGCCTACACACTAAATTCAGGCGAAAGAACAGTCAAAAACCACTTGCAAATAAATGGATTTTGCCTAAAAGAAGTCGATAGTATAATATGCCAATATAATTATGATATAATCCGGTCAGCTAATTGGCATATTGCTGTTTTGTTTCTCATTAAAATGAAAATGAATAACTCCAATACCTGTATTTTTAAGCATAGAAGAATTATGTATAATCTTGGCAGATAGATAACTCCACTTACTTGACCCACGATGAAATTGAGGCTTACGGATGAGTTTTATTCTGCTGGTGTATTGTTTTGCTGAATTTTATGTGAGTTACTCTTACAAAAACAATGAATACTCAAGCAAGTTACCTTTAGTGAGATTATATTCTAAAATTCCAAAGGATGGAAAGTCCCAGTAGGCGTTATGTTAGAAAACATTTGAAGGTGATATGTATGAAGAATTTTCATAATAGAAAATTTGAAATTTCTGAAATTAATTTCGAGTATTCGATTGCATCTGTAAATAGTAAATTGAATTGGAGAAAGTCTCATAAATATTTACAATCACTGGCTCCATGCCACTTTCTAATAGAATAGTTTGATCAGAAGATCAAGTATGTACACTGTACACCTTATTTCCTAGCGTACACATATATTGTGCTTAAGATATACGAGTTTGATCAGAAGATCAACTATGTACACTGTACACATAATATCCTAGTATACACATATACTAACCTGATGCTTTAAGAGTTTGATCAGAAGATCAGGTATATACTAATGTATACTGTACACCACGTATAATATACATAATACACATATAATTTCCTAATATTCAATAAGAGCTTGAAAATAAGATCAAGTATTTACAAATGTACACAGTACAATTCATTTAATATTATACACATATATTGTCCTGATGCTCATACACAGGTATCAGTTCAATTGTGGTTTATTCCCAGTCGGTTGCACCGTTGCGTTGCAGTGCTTTATTTTTTATTCAGATTACCATGACAAATTTTAAATAGTGATAGCCCATTATAGTAAGTAAATACTTTTATTTTGTGCCGTTTCTTGAATGCGGTCGAAGAAGCTTTGAATGTGCTTTTGATGAATGCGGCAACTTGTTTGTGTTGACGATTATGTTATATCATTTACACAAAATGTTAAGTTCAACGGTAAAAGTATGCGAGGGCCCGTTTAAAATTCTGTACGTAAAGAATTAAGAAAATTTAGCAGATTTTTTTCTTTAATTCTTAGCCAGCACTAAACATTTCCTAACCAACAGCGCTCTTAATTAGCATTGTATTTTTCACGGGTTATGAATATCATCGGAATTGGATGGAATATTCTGAAACTACGAACGAAAGTGAATAACTCATAGAAATTTCCAGCGACTGGTAATAAACAGGCAAATATTTGGCTACAATTTTCCTTGAAATACCTACAATTAAAGTCGCTGACTTGAGGTACTCTTATACAATCAATTGATTAATTAAATATATCTTAACCGGCGTTCAGCCTCAACAGCCACCGCAGAAACCTCATCGCTTGGCAAAGAACGCTTGAACAACGTATATTATTATCGGTTAACGTTGAAAAACGTTTAATTAACGTTGACTCGACGCCAGATACCTAGTAGGACTGCACAGTACGGCGAGTCGAACTTTGATATTCATTGTCAGAAAGAGCTCTTCGAACAGAAAAAACTGAAACTTTTGACTTATGAACTTTTCAAATTTAAAGAGAACAAATAAATTAAATGCTTGCTCCAATATAGCGCACGTCCTGACGAACCAGTGACTAAGGCGAAAAATGTAAAATTCGAGGCATTGATTATTTTACGTAAATTATTTGTTATTATTTACTGCCATGAATGCATACAAGCCAATGCTTATCGAAAATAAAAGTGGCAATGGCCGCCGACGACGTTGAGGCTATTGATATTGCTGAAGAAAAATTCAATATTATTCACACATCAATATATGTACAAAGGTATACCTGAAAAAGATGCGCAGAGTTGCACACAAAAAATATTGAAAAATATGTACATTAAAAATATTTACAAGGTTGTAAAATGTAATTATGTACAAGATAACACACACACACACACACATATTGTATATACATCTGTCATATAGATATATGGATATGTACACAGGTTCTCGTGTCTGGATGAGTATAAATATAATGTGTAAAGCGAGACATGAAGAACACTCGTCTGTGGAGAGTACAGTGCATTAAATTTAACACACCTTTAATAATTTTTACACATGTGACAAAACCAAAATGAAAGTTCTTTATGCGAAAATAATAAGTAAGGTTTCAATGGACAACAAATGCATCATTCTAGGTTTAGAACGGAATTTAAGCCTAAGAAGAAATGATTGCGAGTTAAACAGCAAGGCTAAAACGAGGTACAAACTGTGAAACGGTACAAACTGTGAAAGCTTTCATCAAAACCAAAATCAAAAACTTTTTCGGAATAAAAAAATTTACAGAGCACCACGTAGTTGGATTATTTAATTTACAATAATAGAGAAATGTCTGAGTTCTCAAATTATCAAGGCCTTGTAAAAATTTCAGAATGTATTTAATGTGGTCTTTTATTATTCGCCTCAATTACGAACAATTTTTAAATATTGATTTATAATTTGATAATTTTATTGCTTGATTTCTTTGTGAATTGTTAAAGTAAATTGAATCTTGAGATGGAAAAATTGTTTCAAAGGAATCGAAGGATATGATTAATGCTAGAAACCGGGCGTGCAACGTAAGTTAATGTTATTGATAGGTTATAATATTTCAAAATCATTTTATTTCTTGAGAATGATCATAGTAGATGATGTTAAATTTGACTGGAACGATTTGCGTAAATTAGAATAGTTAAAGCATTTTAATCCTTTAAATTGGATGACTAAAGAAACGAAGGAGAAAGATTTGAGTGCAGACAAAGACATGATTTTACATGAACACAATATTTAATATGGCTCATGCTACGCATGCGGCTAGCAAAGATGCTCGTTAGTTTTTAATTGGGGGCAGGGTAAGGTGAGCTAGCACTGGAAATCCAATTAGTTATCTACAAAATAAAATTTATGAAATAATGCAAACGATTAAACAGTACATACTTGAGAATTCATAGGAGTGCAACATAATCCAGCAATATCACGGAGATATTTTTATTTTCGAACTTTTCATAATGTAATATTGTCGGCATGATCTCAATCCGTATCATCCTTTCATTTTCTATAAGCATATTTTCATTATTTATCTTTAGATGCTTTTCAGAAAGCAAAATTCTTGAGTAACGTTTGTTTGAAACAACCAAATGATGCCGATCGTTTATATGTAAAAAGTTTGTGTGCATTTAGCTTGAAAATGATGCGATATACATACACAAATAATTCCCAAGCAAAGTTTCTTTTGACTGGAGGAAAATTTTTTATTTTTTTCCGTGATTTCTCAAAGAAACGGCGTCCCGATGCCCCTTTATGACCAAAAAATATGAAGGTATACGAACCTACATGTAGATTTCGTCTACTTTAAAACAACGATGTAAAGAAACCAAAAATCAACCCGCTAGTTAGCTATAAACAAAACAACTTGGTCGACTTCGAAAATGAGCTTTTTGAACATACTTCCACTGCTCAAAAAACTATACTGTAGTTTAATAAAATATATAGATATAATTTGATGTAGATATAGTTGATATAAAATATAATTGGTATGACATTTTAATTACATTGAGTATCCTATTATCTGTAGCTTAGACGACTAAACAGGCGGAAATTATTTGCCAACCGATAAAATGTCGGATGTTTTCCCTATAAAATTGAGAGCTTCTTGGTGTGTTTTGTTTTCAAACGTTTTTTGAAAAGCGGCATCGTCCAGAATCCCACTCACAATATTCACAGTGACAGCACCAGGCTCAAGATTCCGAAATCAGATCTCAACTATCCTCGTCTTTGACGAGGATTCTGTATTGTGCAGCCGTAGTGACATATGCGTTTGCTTGTTCACTAAATTATACTGATACCAGACCTTCTACTCTAATGACATATACTTGTGGTAGCATTAGGACGACCCATTTCAATGAATTCTAACGGATAGAATGCATGTATTGTATGCACTGGTAAATTCACATAAATCTCTTTATTTTCAAGTCTAAAGTAACTAAATAATTATTCGTCGCAAGATTAATCACCGGGTATAAGATTTAAGCCTGACAGACTTGAGCCCTGACCAGTAAATAACATTCCTATACATTGCTTACTTTCGATGTAAATAACTAAGAATAAGAAAATATTATTCTCACACATTTCTTTTTAAATCACGGTATGCAACGGACACGCTGAAGCCTAAACGATAAAGGATTTGACAGACTCTTGACTGTCCAAATCCTGAGTCCCATGTACAGTTCAAACCGCCAACTCATAGGATAGGCCTGGCTTTCCTACTTCCATTTAATCCATTCATGATAAGGTGGAAACGAGGAACGTAAGTAATGCTGTAAAGGTTATTTAAGAATGGCAATGGTTATTCAATAAAATAAGACTAAATATAAAATAAAATATTAAAGAAATGTTAATAATTATTATTTAGGAAAAGTAGGTAATGCCTATTTGAGAAAAGTAAGTATTGATTATTATTTAAGAAAATTGTCTATTAAATGATTGAAGACTTAGGAAATTAAATGTTCAATAAATGCATACAACGATTCATGTACCGAGGATATTTTCTCTTAATACAGTTCTAGAAAAAAAATTCATCAAAAGGAAAAAAAATTGTATTCATGTGAAAATAGGTATAAGCGCACATATCCCATTAGATAATTGTATCAAAATGTGCACTACTTAGAAAAGATCATTACTTGTGCTTTCTTGGTACTGTATATGTATTGTTCAATTCACAGAAAGGAAACAATCAAAGACCATGATTGGAATATGAATAAAGTATGCCACTTAATTATTAAGTATGCCAACGTCAAAAAATTATGAGCGTTTGCAATTTTGAAATACTGCGTCACGAAAGATGTATTTGTAGCAAAAGAAAACAGTCCCGTTCATGAATCATATATTGTTGTTTTTTAATTGTTTTTAATTCCCCGTATTTGAAATAATTGCTAACGGTTACCATGTGTAAGGCTTCGTTCATAGTTTCAACAACAATGAGTATTGAAACTGATAATGAAACACAAATACAGGACATGCTGCTTTGATAGGGATGCGAAAAATTTGATTTGGGACATCAAGTGATAAGGAATTCGGAAAATTTTCTATTGTAATGGGAGTGCAAATGAATAAGAAGTGTACTCAATGAGGTTTATATATTAGAAATAGTAAAAAATTCGTGATTGGGAAATTTAGAATTTTGATTAGAACTCAGAAAGAGCTGGAGCAGAACAACGGAAATTCGAGCAGTACGGTGGTTGCTGAACTAAAACAGATGTTGAAACGTTTAAATTTTCGTTGTTATTATTTTAATTCGAATATATGATTAATTGTTGAGATTTGTAGCCTTAGCGTTCATCGTGCATTTATTTTTTGAGACTTTACTGTATATAAAATTATAAGAGAAAATTTATAGACTTTGAATGGAAACATATTGTTAAAGTGTACGGATGGAAAATATGCTCGAAAATTAACAGTTAACTTGTTTGATATAATGTTCAATTCAGTTCATGCTCGAATCTTTTTCTTGAATTGCCTGTTTGAAATATTGTATTTATTAACAAGTGCCGCAAAAATTTACAAGTGCTGAAATAATTGGAATTATCGTTTTTAAAATACATTTACCAAGAATTCAACTGGCTTGTATAAACATATATTTTGTTCCAAATGTGTATATTGTGCTATATAAACCCCTGCATCACTGCCGGTTCTGCTGCCGCCATCGCCATTGGACGGATTAAAAAATCTGAAAAAATTTATATATAAGCTAACGATAAAGGCTAAAATTTTATTTCACCTTTGAGCCCGCATATTATTGATAGTCTTGTAACGACCTGCTAATGTGCCGTTCAAGCAGACTCAGTATCGTTAATAATGTGATCAATGATTCTCTATGAGCGATAACTGTTTACTATTTAATTGATAAATCATTAAATACAATTAATATTTTTCTAATATTGTGTTTTCAACTGTTGTAGCGGAAACGAAATGTTTGAAAAATGCTTGTATGAGCTTTTACACTTTTATTCCAATATTGTGATTGAAATGTTAGAAATATTCTATTTTATTGAAGAAGTTTATGCTACACTTTTGATACACTACTACAGAAATTGGGAATTTTAATTAACAAGACTCCCGTCGTTAATTCATTTATAATGTTATATTAGTTGCTGTTAAATAGACTAAATTTCTGGCCAGAGTTTATAGATAATTTATGCTTAACTTGTCAATTCGACTAACTGGTATAGGTTGCATTAGAATAACCATGATGTATATTGTATAGGTTAACTATATTCATTTGATTCTCCATGCAATTTTATTAATGTTCTAAAAATTATTTTCCATAGAATTCAATTTTGACGTGAGGAAATTCCGAACACAAATCATTTACTGAAATTAAATAACTTCACTTTAGTTAATCGAGAATTCATAGTGATGCTAGAAGCAATGTCTATCGTCGCTTGGTAGTGCATTTTGATTGTTTAACGTAAATCAGATGAATTTTCGGTCAGACACTTTATGGACACATACGTGCAAATTGGTGTTAATAAGTGTAAGATATTAAATATTTGTATAATTTGCGCTATATATCATCTGGTTTGGTAGGCAAGAGGGCGGCAGCATTTGAAGCCTAACTGACAACGCATGTGTTGGTAGCAATTTTCTTCCAAATGCGAGACATTCAATAAATTTTCATATACAATTTACCAATGATACGGTATAGACTATCTGGAATCAATATGTTACAACATATCACTGTTTTTCAAATTGTTTCCTTCCTACAAAGTATTCTAAAAAGGCTGAGGCATTGACGTGTCGACATGCTGTCATCAAATTCTAATATCCAGTATCTTGTAGCTGACGCTACAAAACATGTATTCTAATTAAATCCTAATTCCCATAAAAACTTCTAATTGAACCCTAAAGGTAAGTGTGAACGGGATCACTAGTGACGGCCGCTAAAACGTTCATTTAATAGCTGACATTATTTACTTAATGGCCAGGTAAATGCTAAATAATACTTTAGGGAAAGAAGCAAAATAATTGATAGCTGAAAACATTTAAAAAGTGCAGTGGTTGTTATTTCATAATTGTGACCCCGTGCACAAGCACCTTCTAAATGCAACTTTTTTATTAGATCATTTATAGTAGTGGTAAGCTACTACTAGTGGATCAGTAGTAGTCAACCCTCTTGGTGTAAATAGCTAGAATATTTCAACACTCAACAAACTTTCAAGAGGCACTTATAGATAAAAAGTTCTCACGGCTTATGTTGTCCCAAATAGGAAAATAGATTTTTAGTTGGCCCAGGTTTTTCTTTCGCTAATTCAACGGCTGATACCCAAAATTTAAAACTAAGCTTCAACGGCCTCCCGTTTCCTATCATTATTGGTGAACTGAAACACTCCCCAATTCTTAAATGGTGCACTGTGTCAAAATGTTCTTTAAAATCCACCATAAATTTAACTATTTGAACTTTTTTTTTATCACGACAGAGTGTAAAATTTAGGTCCTGAATCCATTACATGTATTTATGATGAATTGACATTCATATTTAATTTTCAGAGAAACTTATAATCATGCATTTTCTGAAATATTTATTTAGGTTTTTATTAAAATATAAGTGAATGTTTTTGAGAACTTTCTCTCAAAACAACTACAACATCGTTAACATGAAATTATGAACAAATTGAATAAGCTGAGTAGGGAAGATTTAAAAGCAAAAGATTAATATATGATTCAAAATAAACTTTATAAGGGAAGCATGCAATTTATTGCTGACACGCTTAGAGGGTATGCGGATTTAGCAATGTGCAGATATATATAAATATTTTGTTGCGGTTTAATAGTAATAGACAAGCTCAAAGGTTTAGCAAGGCAATGGAAATTGAAGATCAAGGCCAATTAAATCAACAAATTGATACGATTTAGATTATAACACGAAATGACGAGGGCAGCAGCCGCAGGATTAGAAATACAAAATGCTTGTATGTGTGTTTGTGTATGTGTTGTGATGAGCTGTTGATCATGACGTCACACCTCTCGTCGACCAATCACAGAACTCACCCAAACCCAATTGTCCTGGAGAGAGGAACGTGCAGTTAGCGGGAATAGGACTTTAATGATAATCAATTAAATGACTATTTATGAGTGAAAACAATGAACTTTTTATAGGCTTAACGAACAATAATTTCGTGTTGAACATAATAAAATTTTTACGCGAATTATTTATTTAAATGAATACGAATGACAATGAGCTTTCAGTAGGCTTAAAGGATAACATTTTTGTGTTGAAAATAATAACATTTGAACGGGAATTACGAATTTGAACCTGCTGTATATGGCACGTATACTACGGTCCATCCGTGCTCTAAAGCTTAAAAACTTTTGTTTTGGATAAATAAATGACGACAAAGAGAAGATCTTTATTGAAAAATGAAAATGGAGTTGTTCATCCATAAATAAATGAACAATAATGTTCAACATTTATAAAATTATTACCAAATGCTTGGGTGCAATTAAGTGCGGTAGTTGGAAATGTCAGCGATGAAGTCAACTTTAACAACAGAATCTTTCAGCGTTGGATATCCTAAATCGAAAATCGCCGCTGGATATTAGAATTTTTTTTAATAATAAACGCAAATAAAATTGTAAAATTTTCAAGGAAAATAAATTTAATCTTATTGTTAAAATTACAAAATAGGTAAGAAATTATGAGCAACGTAATGGGCAATGGAAATTCAACATATGTTCAGTAAAATGTAGCGTACTTAAGCTTCCTCATAAGTTAAAAAACTCAATTTTTTAAACTAATGATTGAGCCGGTTTTCGCAACATTTTCAATAAAAATACTGTGAATTTTCTTAGAATTTTTTTTCGTAACGTTTTGATTAGGAAGAAGGCTACAGAAATAGGACTTAAATTTGACAATACTGTACTTACTGTTCTTCACCAACATTTATTAACCTGCAAACCAATTGTTGTCGTTGAAATCTCGAGTAACTGCATTCTCATAATTTAATTTTATACGGGAAGTATTGACATCCAGTTCCGTTGGTCTCATGAAATAATGATTTTGCATCCAAAGTATGCTTTATGGAAATTAGTGGCATACAGTTCCGTAGTTTTTAATATCCCAAAAGTGGAAAACATTCAGCCGTGTAATCGGACCTTATCTAAACATTAGTTGATAAATTTTTTTAGTTCCGAAATGGTTTCATAAAGTATATAATATTGCTGAATATGTTGAAACATTAAATAGTTGTTAATATAATATGCATGACACATGAATTATAGTAAAAAAGGAGCATCATATGAGCATCGGACCTAATAAGAAGGGATGTTCATCGCTGTCCCTGGTTCCAGGAAAAATAAATTTGTAATTCGTCTGCTTAAAATCTCCCAGATGAGGCAATTTCTAACATTTGATGTCATCACCAACATTTCCTGTGTTTTGGTGTAAGTGCTTGGTCATTTGATGGTCATTTTACACTCGTATGACTATACTTATTATTGCATGTGCAATCATACAACTACTTGAGTTACACTGCAAGTACTACAGTATTCATATTGCGTTTCTTTTCCCTACGGTATGTGCACACATACATACAACTACTTGACAACTACGGTATGTGCATACATATAATTACTTGAGTTACTCTGCTGGTATTCCAAAACAGATAGGTACTGCTATAAGTTTTTAAACGTTATGTGCGCTCATATATTTACTTGAGTTACCCTGCTGGGAGTACAAAACCCGTACTGCTATAGTATTTGTACGGTATGTGCACAAATAAAATTTATTGAGTTACCCTGCTAGAAGTAAAGAACCTGTATAACTATAATATTTTTAAGGTATGTGCACAAATACAATTAATTGAGTTACTCTGCTAGAGGTGCAGAACCTGCACTGTTATAAATTTTGTGGACGGTATGTGCACAGGTATAGTTACATGAATTATCTTACGTGTGTGCAACACTCGTGTGCTCACAAAAGATCTAACTACAGTAAAAGACTATCAACTGACCGTAAAACTTTCATTCAAAAATTTTTAAAGAGTTGTTATCTTAGTTTATCTGAATGAAATTAGATATGACTGAGTAAGTATGTTATATCTTCCGAGTATATTCTAATACTGTAGATTGAAATCTTATATTATCCGAGTTGGTAGTAATCTTATCGTGTAATGATCCTATGTTATCTGAACCAACTCTGATATTTTAGAACCTGCACAACACAATTCATGCCAACTACAGACTTAATTGGCGTCTAATAAAGTAATATGAACTACAGAGCAAATATTTTAGACATGTAACGAAATAATCTATAACAATATTTATTTATTACCACAATACAAATTCCGTGAGATGTCCTATGAATTGATTAATCTAATAACAATTTTGTCTTCATAGACGTAGGCAACTGTCGTTCTCGCTTGCGGTGAGAGTTTCCTTCGAGAGAAAACCATGAATAATGGTCAAATAAAATAGAAATACTCCATATAACTTTGGAATAAATATAAAATACTATAAATAACTGTCGACTAACGACAAAATACTATGAGTAACTGTCGAAGAAAGAGAAAATGCTACGTTATGTTGCTTCGAATAACTGTCGAATAAAGAGAAAATACTATGAATAACTGTCGAATAAATGAAAACATTATGAATAACAGTTAAATAATAAACAAATACTATCAATAAACGTTAATTAAAACTTGTCTTTCTAATAATATATTTACCTTGAAGCCGCCCAAATGGTCCACAACGCAAGTGAACGTCGCTTCTCTGCCTTCAGTAACCGTCACGTTCTCCAGGGGCTCAAGGAACTCTGGCTCTAGGCACAAGACTGGAGGCAGGGCAAATTTAATTACATGTATGCCGTATATTTCATCTTATATTATTAGTTTACTTGAACGAAAAGTTAACCGAGAATTCAAGGCTCCAAGTTTTTCTCCAAGGCCTCCAGGAATACTGGTTCTAGGCACAATACTGGAGGCAGGGAAAATTTAATTACATGTATGCCGTATATTTTATCTTATATCATTAGTTTACTTGAACGAAAAGTTAACCGAAAATTCAAGGCTCCAAGTTTTTCTCCAAGGCCTCCAGGAATTCTAGTTCTAGTCACAGGACTTGAGGCAGAGCAAATTTAAGTACTTGTGAGCGTTATATTGAATCTTACGTCATTAGTTTACTTAAATTGTAAGTTAACAATGAAATTAAAGCCGAATAAAATGCCTTGAAAATTCATTATTCATAAACGCCAAGTAAATTCATTATTCATAAACGCAATTAAATTCTTTACTCGTAAACGTCAAGTAAATTCATTATTCATAAACGCCAAGTAAATTTATTGTTCATAAACGCCAAGTAAATTCATTATTCACAAACGCTAAGTAAATTCATTATTCACAAGCGCTAAGTAAATTCACTATTCATAAATGCGAAGTCAGCTTCATTAAACTTAAGAATTACATCTGTTTAAAATATAAATTAAATAATAAAAGTTCACATTCATCGCCGTTTTCGATTAACGAGTACAGTCAATCAATGTAATCAATTATTGAAATACGAGTATAATCAATAATTGAAAATTACTTTTGATAATTGATTAGATTAATATTTATTTATTATGAAAATTTATATTTATTAAAGTTCATAAATTTAATTTATATAAAACTTGTGTATAACGTTCCATCACATGAATTTATTTCTCGTTTTAAATGAAATCCGCCAGCCGTGACGTCAAACGAGATATAGATTAGTTATCCATCTGCTATCGGAGTATGTTCATGTAACCTGGAATTTATTACTCTATTATAATTTATTCACTTATTACTAATGAAATGAATAATACCTACAAACTATCTCATTATAATTGAAGGCCTTTTTACATTTTTGTATATATATTATTGTTTACGATAACCTGCAAATATATGCACATTGTGTTAGACGACCTACATATATTGGCATTTTGTGGATCTTGATCGACATGGATCTGCGTCGATGTATTTTTTGTATTAACGAAAGACGAATAGAAAATTTCAGAAGTCGTTAGTTCGTAGCAAGGTAAGCAAGGTCAATATAGGGAATGTCGCTCCCTTTGGTAGTAGAAAACTATTTATCTCTACGGAAATCAAGACCTTTCAACAACTGATAACGAAGTTCAAATCAAACTTCAGTGGAAGCGATGGTTCAAAACACTAGTGTTTCGTGGTCGCAGATAATGAAGTTCGAACACTGACATTAAAGTTCGAACGAAGATATGAAGTTCTTCAGATGGCATGAGCCCAAAACTGAGATGAAAGTTCTATCACAAATACAGAAGTTAAGGAAACCAGTGAAAATTAAAATCACTTACAATAATTACAGACAGCGGAAATTATCCAAATTATACATTGGAGGAAACTGCACCATTACCCAGCACTTGGGGAAATCAATACTCAAAACTGGGGGAAAGCAAGATGAAGTGCTAAATACCAGCTCCCCCAGCACTGAGGGAAGCAATATTGACCCCCAATACTAGAGGAAGCAATACCTACACCCAACAAAGGGGGAAAACTCTCCCCCTCACCCACACCCGTAGCAGCAGCAATAGCCTCTTTATGCGGTACAGCGCGAGGCTCTCAGCGCGGCGCTCGTGCGTCCCGCAGCCATTTTTCCTATGGCCAATTTATGAGGCCTTTTGGTGGAGTTTTTAGCGTCGCGTGGCGATGCCCGTACTGCTGCTCTTGTTTTGCTGCTCCTGTTCTGATGCTCTTGTTTTGCTGCTCTTGTTTTGCTGCTTTTGTTTTGCTGCTCTTGTTTTGCTGCTTGTGTTTTGCTGCTCTTGGTTTGCAGCTCTTGTTTTGCTGCTCTTCTTTTGCTGCTCTTGTTTTGCTGCTCTTGGTTTGCAGCTCTTGTTTTGCTGCTCTTTTGCTGATCCCGCTGCTTCTCTGTTAATGCTGCTGTTGTTTTTTTGATGCAGCTGTTGTTCTGTTTATGCTGTTGTTGCTCTATTGATGCAGCTGTTTTTCAGTTGATGCAGCCTTTGTTCTGTTGATGCAGTTGTTGCTCTGTTGATACTGCTATTGTTTATGTTGTTGTTTGACCGTATCTTTTTTATTATATTTTTTTTCGCTACAATTGTCCAGAACGATATTGTACTTTTTGAGTGCAGTGTTTAAGTTTAATGAGATTTCGAAACCATTTTTAGACAATTTTTGTCTGAAATTAGGTGAGTTATATGTCAGCGATGAGCTAAATTAATTATGAACCTACTCGATATTTGGCTCGTTAAATTAGGAGCCATGTTGATTTCTGGGAACAGGCTTCCATGATAGGTGCCATTGCACACTTGCAGAACAATCTCTAAAATAATGAACTAAGTAAACAAATTTTCTAAGTAAACAAATTTTCTAGGTAAACAAACTTTTCTAAGTAAACAAATTTTCTAGGTAAACAAATTTTCTAAGTAAACAAATTTTCTAGGTAAGCAAATTTCCTATGTAAACAAATTTTCTAGAAAAACAAATTTTCTATGTACAAAAAATTTTCTAAGTAAACAAATTTTCTAGGTAAACAAATTTTATAAGTAAACAAATTTTATAGGTAAAAAACTTTTCTAAGTAAACAAATTTTCTAGGTAAAAAATTTTTCTAAGTAAACAAATTTTCTAAGCAAACAAATTTTCTAAGTAAACAAATTTTCTAAGTAAACAAATTTTCAAGGTAAAAATTTTTCTAAGTAAACAAATTTTCTAAGCAAACAAATTGTCTAAGTCTAATTAATTGTCGAGGGGTCGGCAACATGTATGAAATCCTTGAGAAAATTTGTTATTGTTTTTAAATTCGCGGTCTTTTGTGGCCAATATCCAGAAGGGCTCCAAAAGAAGGATTTCCAGGCACGTTTGTTGTTGTTTTTTGTTTTTTTAGAAGCGAATTTTGAGTCTGAATTTCCAAAGAAGCTCACGTGACGCGACTGCCTAAAACTAAAAAACTGCCTAAACCTGCCTAAATAGGAGCGGTTGTTTTGCGTAAATGACTCTGAATAAGTGGTGCTTCAACCTTATTACGTAACTAAGAAACTCAATCTACTGAATGACTTTTTGTTTTCAGGAACATCGTGGCCGTAAAGCACATCAAGCGACAAGAATGGATTAAATTTAGCTCGGTTTTATAAGGGATTTTCTGTTTATATTTTTATAGCCTTAAACATCAAATCAAACTTAGACAAACATTGTAAAACTTTCATGAGTTGAGGGATCCTTACCCATTGTCTACAAATTTATTGAATGTCATCTATGTTAATCGCTTCTGGAGTCCTGGTAACGAAAGTAGTCCAACGGTTAACAGTCAATGATCCAAAAATTAATCTTTTGTTACCATTTTTAACTATTTTGTTTATTAACATTTGTTAATGTTATTCGTAGCTAAGGGACTGTTAACTGTCAGTAAAATCCGTGTTTGGGTCGGGTTTTCCACTCAAATTGTATAAAAAGATTTAATGGAAAATCTTAATTTTCAAGGTTTCAAAAAAAAAAAATTATTTTATCCGGCCAGCCAAATTTTTATTTCATGCAAAGAAGATAAATTTGAATAATAATATATCGACAAACTATATTTTCAATTGTTAGATAACTTTTGCGAAACATCGATGACGAATGGAGCGAAATTTTAATTACATGTGGCTGGAGTGCCATAATAATTGCATAAAACGTGCATGAAAGCATGGCTTGTAAGGCTGAATATTTACAACAAACAAAGAACATGAGGGAGAAAAATATGACGGTGAGCATGAACATTCGACCAACACTTACCAGCACCGAAGAATATAAAGGAGAGTAGCAACATTCTTGTGAAGTAGGAACTGAAATCGCCAATTTTTCTGATATTGGAAGGATTTTTCCCTGTGAGGAAATCTTTTGACTCGCAATGGCTGCTCTCAGGTATTGATGCGTGTTCATTTTCGCGGCTGCGGCGCGGTGGCGCTGGTGGCTGTGAATTGTGATCAGCGCTGTTGGAAGACTGAGGTCCGATTGATACGTTTGATCGATAATGGAAAGAAGGGGTATCAATATCAATGTATTTTATTGGGCTCTCAAGAGTTAAATTAGAAGCATTATCGTTTTTCGCTGAGGTTTTTAATGCCACTCTGCCTGCCTTTAGTGGTTTACCTCGCCGAGTTTCGTTTCCAAGGCGACTAATTTCTGATTGAAACATGGGACAAAACTGGTCTTCTTCCGCCATTATTTGCACAAAACTTTCATCACTTCGTACCCTATGGTAGAGTCCAGCTGATAAGACCGGTAGTTTATTGCTTTCCATATTCATTACAACTGATATCTCTGATTGAAGTCCTAAATGATTTCCATCCTTTATTTCCTCTGATTTTAACATTATGGGTACTAAATGCGGATGAATTTTCTGCATTTGCTGTGAATTTTGCCCGGTAGAGAGTTTGTCCAAGTGTGCAAACGATTTTGACCGAAGTTTAGAACAACGTTTGTCCGTAGGCATATTCTCGTTTGGGTGCCCTTCGCTGCAATGCTTGTTCGTGGACCCGGTAGATTGAAACTGAAATCTACTGCAATGTTCGTCCTCTGGTCCAATGGTCTCTGCAAGAAGTCCAGTGCAGTCTGTGCTTTGACTTCGGTCGCTCGATGCAGTGCCTACTTTATTGCTGATTGCGGATTTATCCGGCTCATTGGGATCACTGAGGTACGGCTCGCCAGAGCGGCAATGTCGCTCAACTGTTTCGCCTTGTTTTGAGGACAAGTTGACTTTTTCAATAGACCGCTCAGTTAAGCTTGATAAAAAGCTACATTGTGCATTGGCTTCAGGTTTTTCCGAGCCGTTACCGAAAGAGGATTGCTCGAAACAAGGCATTATATGCGGATGCTTTGGCTGGCGATCTCTGTTTCCGAGTTTGGGGCCGTTTTAGCAAGTCCAAAAGTGAAAGATTCAATTTCGGTGTTTCAATTAAAATCTTACTGCAAGTGTCTCTTTATCAGAGGATTTTGAAAAACATTAGTTTATTATTTTCATTTCTGGCACATGTATAGAATTAATATCATGACATTTACGAAATTTATTTCTACAGCATTATTGTTTGCAGAATAATCTAAATATTAGAATCTCGTAGTTAAGCGTCAACCTTGCTATAATTATATCTATATAATTATATAAGCATGAATTGAAGGTCAGCGATAGCTTAACATTATTTTTTTCATACTCTTCAGCTCTATGTTTAGTTTGTGATCACTATACATTAGTCTGTGTCCCTAAGTGAAATGGTTCGAGCTAATTCTGTTATCACTCAACGAGCTCATCCAAATCATCTACTATGCCTCACGTAATACTTTCGAACTGGTTTATATCACTTGTTCTTTATTTGTACAACGTTCACTAATGCATTTTTTGCGACAAAATGACGAAGAAGCGTTGTTCGATGGCAGCTTTTCAGGATTTACGTAATTGTGACTCGTAAAACCTTCATATAGGAAGTTGATTGAAGAGATAGACCGTCTTGGGCCACACTACGGGGTGCTTATGAGGCCATTTCTCTTATTGATGTGCTTCACAGAGTGAAATTCTTCAGGTGAACCTGCAGAAAAAGACAAATAAAGTATTATTCGTAAATCAATGTAGAAACCATATTGAAGAAGGATTTGCTATCGTGCTAAATGAATATTGGTTTATTATTTAAAATCGGAAGACTGAGTACACCGGAACACTGATATTTTCTTCACTAGCCGCATGTTGATTCTACTCGGGTCAATTTAGCTCATTATTAAACTAAATAATAATAATAATAATAATAATAATAATAATAATAATAATAATAATAATAATAGCTTAATAGCTCATTATTCAACAGTTTTCTTACAAAAACGATTGTGCACTATACTCAATAAATTACTCATAGACATCCTATATAGTATATTAGAAGAAACAAAATGATATTATGAATTCGCACGTTCGCGAGAATAAGCCCACTGCCCAGGTCTAAAAATTCGTATCGTGTGTTTGGAGGCAATGATGAATAATTTTATTTCGGGATGAATATTCTTAAGCGATGTTTCTCGTGATGCTTATAAGGAAACGAGACAAGGAAGCTCGACAAAGTGGTGTGCGAGAAGAGCTTCTTCTCCCAGTTGTAATTTTTTAAATTAATGGTTTTTGAAGCTATTTTAAGTTAAAGTTTAAGATTAATATTCTGCGTTGTTTTGGCAAAACACTATTGCGTGTATTTCCTGGTCAATGCGTTGCAGTTCAAAATTTTTAAAGGCTTTTGAAAACTGATTTCTCAAAAAAAATTCAATGAAATGTGCATATTTTGCACACAAAATTTCCTGGTGTCGCTTTGGGTTTGCAAAAATTTCTAATAATCTGTACGTTGAGATTCATCTTTTAAAATCCCATTGACTTGTTCACTCAGACCTACCTGGCCAGCAGAATTATACACGTTTTCCCTCATATATCCTTTTCCTGTGTTGCTCTCATTCTTTTGTTGCTCCTCTTCTTTTTCACTACTTTATAATTTTTCTTCAGTTCTTATTTTCATTTGATGATAACTTTCGCTTGTTGATCTTTTTCCCTCTTTTCTCAATATCCCCCTTTGCTTAATTTCCCTCTTTGCTCAATTTCTCTCTTTACGCATTTTCCCATCTTTTTAAATTCACTCTTCGCTCTCTTTGCTCAATTTTCTTCGTAGCTATATTTCCTTCTTTGCCCATTTCCCATTTTTGCGTAATTTTCCTTTTCGCTCATTTTCCTTTTTTACGCAATTTCCTTCTTCGCTCATTTTCCCTTTTTACGCATTTCCCTTCATTGCGTGTTTTCTCTCAGTGCAGATTAGCGCAATATCGCATGCCCGGCGGTACGCAGTATCATAACTGATGAGCGTTCCTTCCAGCCATTATTAGCATTATTATTATATTATTAACATTAGGTTTCTATTTAATAATGGTATATTATTTTTCTTCTTCGTACTAGTGTACTCATGAGTGTTAGGTATATCCTAACTTTCATTATATGTTAATAATAAAAAGTAGTAATAATCTTATTGCATATTCAAACTTGTTTTTCGCATAACATCCAATTTCAAAGTGGCTTCGAGATTATGTGTTGTGTTGAATTGGTTAGATATAAAATGAAGTTATTTTTTTAAGGCAGGAAACATTGTGCGTCATCTCCTGCGTATCCATCGTTATAGTAAAAGATTGTTTTTACATTATAATCTCATATAAATCATCGAAATTAATTCATGATTAGCATACTGAATGTGTGATGCTATTCAAATAAATTTTTTTACTTGATTGTTCACAAAGTCGGCAATGATTTGCTAATGTGCCTGTGAAACATCAAAATATTTTAATTTTTTCACTATATATAATGAAATATCGTCATATATAGCGAAAAATTTAACCTACTGAGAAATTTTCAAACTGAAGTTCACGAAATGAAAGAAAATGTTTGCAATGAAAAGAATATTGTATATACCGTACAACGCTGTATTCTTCGAATACTTATTTGTTACCTTATTCTACATTCTGTTACCACAGAATGAAAGTTCTTAAAACTCCCCAAAAATTCACAGATGTTAATTGTAATGTAATGTGTTTTAGAGAAATTATACTAAAGCATTCGTTAACCTAAAAATTCACCCAAATTATAGTAGTAAATTCGAAACAAAAAAGTTAGTAATTGTGCCATTTTATCATAGTTATTCTCTGAATACCAAACACAATATTTTTACCATTACAAATCATCATCTGTGCATTGAAATTTGTGTACCAGAAAAATCGTGTATTTTTCATCGATGAAAATTTCCGCGCGTCTGTGCTTGAACGCGGTAACACTCAAAGAAATAAGTGGGAACAAATAACGATATATTTTTGCCACTATGCGAGTCATCCAATTTGATTCACCATTTAAGCCCGATAAAAGTGTATTATTTTTACATACGCGCTCTGCTTTTACTGGGGGTAAGAAAGTGTATCGGTACTTGGATGATATGACACGTATATTTTTCTGAGTGAGGAGAGTACGGCGCCTTCACCGCGACGGCAAAAATGAGGGAGCGACGCACGGCGCCTTCACCGCCCCTTTAATGAAATGATCGTCAGGAAATTAAGCGGTTTGTGAGGGCCGCGTACCACGCAAAACTTCGTCGCCACGATCCTGATGAAAAAAAAAACGGAAGGAACCCACAGAAAAATAAAGTAATGACAATAAAAAAATAAAAAAAAACTTCTCGCCACGATGCTGATGAAAAAAAACGAAACGAACAAAAAAAATAAAGTTATGACAATAAAATATAAAAAGAAGTCCGTGGGGTGATGACGGACTTTCTAGATGCAACGAATCATTGTGGTCAAGCGAGTCGGAACGTATTTTTGTGGCCCAAAAAATAATTAACGGGTTAAATATTCATAACACTTTATATGTTTCATTTTTGTATTGATGATTTGCCAGGGAGTTTCGTTAATTATATAAATTTTGTAAAATGTTTGATAAATTCCCAGTTAGAAACCAATTTCCATGCCCCAGAGATGAGAAAAAGCTTGATTTTCAGATTCCCGGACGCTCTTCGAATGTCTAGGGTCAAAATCTCTTCACATTTTCTGGCCACGATTCATACAGCGGGTGAAAATACGCAGAAGAATCTGTTGCTGATCTGGGAGTCTGTATCACCTCGATCGGCTTGCTGTGCACTGTCGTAAAGCACTGAAAGCTTTGCATTAAAGTGCATGCAATTTTCAGCCTAATAAAATCAGGTCATTGGCATGGAACCGCTTGTACTGGCCTCGCATCTCGCCTCGAAGTTGTGCGCTATTTTTGCTTCCCGTTACAGGGGAAGCTTTCGAGAGTTCCAACTCGTGGCCAATATTCGACTTTGGCTCTTGCGAAGCCGAACTGTTCCTACTCAAGCGAATTTGGGTCTTGCGAAGCAGACCAATAACGACAAAACTTGTTTGTCCCAAGCAAGTTAAAACAAAATGCGTCCTTGTGGAATCTGGTCTGTGGGCTGAACTACAATACGAAACGCTACACGCCCTCTGGTGGCAAGTGGGACGCACCACAGACTCCGGACATTACGACAAAAATTGAAAGCTCACCAACATATAGAAATGGGATCCGCACGCGAGGCAAATTGTTTTAAAAAGATGATGGTCGCAATAAAAGCTGCTGTTGCTCGGATAAGCAGAAGCCTCCTTTGTGAGGCATGCGGGGCTTGAACGAGGAACTAACATTACAAGTAAATGAGATACCGAATAAATTAGTAATTAAAACGTTTTTACTTGCCCGGGAAAACCGGATACACCTCACCTCCTTCCAAAAGTTGGTGTAATTTAATTAAATATATACACATTTCTAAAGATGAATATTGTATTGCAGGAATATAGTCATATCAAGGTCCATTTAAACGGACCATTGAAAATGTTCTAATGAATAACTTTGAAGCAGCAAGCAAGGTTCAAACTCGACTCGAGTTATTTTACAGATTATGACGATGAAAATATAAATAGAATATCCATGCTATGCACTAGTACAAATGTCGGGAAGTATTCAATAATTTTATGGAGGTTTTACTACGTCGCACTTTATTTAATCTTTTAGGTGACTCTTCAAAACGGAAATTGCATGAAATTTGAATCAAATGTAATTTTTTTAAATAAATTCTCTATCTCCTTCAAAAATCGACAGTGAAGATTTCGCGATAGTGTGAAGTAGAATAATTATTCTGGTATAATACTTTGATTTCTTTGAAAATCCATGATGCTTTACCGTTGCATATTGAAATGATAAACATAACTAATCTGAGAACATCAACAGGTAATTACCGACTATAGGCTCCACTTTAACGTGTTTACTTTCATGTTTATTCTCTTGTTCCTTGAAAAAATACAAATTGCTTTGTCTTAGACTCGGTAAACTGAAAAGTTTCATTAAGTTTCGCCACGATAAGTTACAAATTATTATATAAAATAGAATTTATTAATAAAAATTAGCCTTTCCCTCATGAACGTGACGAAACTTTAAAGCCATGCTTCAAAGCACGCAGCCTCGGCCGCAACTTATGAACAAAATTTCTAGCACCGACAAGAAATTTTTCTCGAAAGTTTAACTGTTTGAGAACTCGACCTCAGGCCACATTAAACCTTGGCGCGCCTTCTGAACAGAGGGCTGGCTTGCAACCGGCCTTGATAGTCCAATACAAATATAAAAATTTGTTTATTGGTGCAATATTAATATTTTTTTTATACTACCTTTCGTCCCTATCATTAGGTTTCCATCATGTTGCTAGAGACACACACTATATCAATGATTCTGCTTTCACAAATGCATTGGGACAATAGTTGGGTGCTGATCATTAAATTATTATCGCAATTAGTAAATCGTTCAATTACGTAAAATTGAATTTAATAATGATGCGAAAAAGTATATTATATTATATTATGTTATATTATATTATATTATATTATATTATATATTACATTATAATATAGTGAACATTTGAGTTTTGTAACTGAGTTCAGTATTCATACGTGTAAGAATTTCTTAAGCCGTGAAAAAATTCACCCAAAAGAAAACAAGGGA